TGCACCAGTCCCTAGAGATCCCAACTCTTCATGTTAAAACATCTTCCATCAGAGAATGCATTCTGATCAAGACTTAACAGTTAACTATGCCCCCTACCCTCAGCACCCAGTGGTGCCCATGTCCAGACTCCTGGCTGGGACCCCAGCAGACAGCAAGGCACTCATGTGCTCCATCTGTGCAGCACACTTCCAACCAACATCTCTGCTTTTTCTTAGGACAACCACCAATATACTGGGACAGTCATGCCCCTGGGCTGCTCTGAGCCTCACTTATTTTACCCGGATCTTCAAATCCAAGAGATGCCTGGAGATGATGCTGAGATCATCTGGTTCACTGAAGATATTTTTATTTAGAGCATTATACACAGCAGTGGGTTCATTTGGATGAACTCATGCATGCATGGGATTTGACTTCCTCCATTTCAGTTCCACCTTGTTTTACTCTCCTCTTCCTTCCCCTATTCTCCTTTCTCTCCTCTACTGATCTCCCTTTGCTCATTTATTTGGATTGGTGCTTTCTACATATGCAGAAAGGTGGAACCCCTGGGACATATTACATACATAGCATGATTTCGATACACTCATCCTGCATTTCCTCCCTTCCCCATTTCTCTTCCCTCCTTCTTCCACTCCACTGATTTCTGTATCTTCATGATATCCAATCCCCCTCCTATTTTTCATCCTTATTTTGCTCTAACTTTCATATATGAGAGAAAACATTTGACCCTTGGTTTTCTGAATCTGGCTTATTTCACTCAGCATGATGTTCTCCATTTCTATCGTTTTACTGGCAAATGCCATAATTTTATTCCTTTTTTATGGCTGAGTAAAACTCCATGGTGTGTGTGTGTGTGTGTGTGTGTGTGCATGTTTGTTTTTGTATCCACTCATCTATTGAGGGCATCTGGGCTGTGATCTCTCTACTGTGAATTGTGCTGCTATAAACATTGATGAGGCTATATAGTATGCTAGTTTTAGCTCTTTCAGATAAAAACCAAGGATTGATATAGGTGGGTCATATGGTGGCTCCATTCCCAGTGTTTTGAGGAATCTCTACACTGCTTTCTGGAACGGTTGTTGTTATGGTTTGGATGTGAGGTGTCCTACAAAGGCTCATGTGTGAGAGAAAGCAAGAAGGTTGAGAGGATAAATTGTGGTGAGCCGCTTCTGCCGTTTCTGCAGATTATGGTCGCCATTACAAGATGGCGCTGGCTCCGCTGTGGTCTGTGACAAACAATTTCTTATCTGGGAAAGTTGGCACATGATTTTTCACCACCCTGTGAGAAAGTTCCACGCGGCAGCTTTGCATTGGGGCTTGGGATGCTTTATTAAGGCTGGGAGGGGCACCCGAGAGGAAGAAGAAGAAATATCCAGGGACCTGAATAAAACTGTTGAAAGAAGATTCTCGAGTTGCGTCTTCCTTGCGGGCAAGGGGTCGCGACAAGTGGTGCCGAGACCCGGGAACCAGAACTTTCAACAGTCAGGGGTGGTGCACCGGTTAGTCCCAGGTAAGTGGGATCCGCGATCAAAGCGGGGTTAGTCCCAGGTAAGTGGGATCCGCGATCAAAGCGGGGTTAGTCCCTAGTAAGTGGGATCCGCGACCAAAGCGGGACAGCTCCTCTGTAATGAAAGAGAGAGCATTACATTTTATTGCAGCTGCACTGTGTACTTTCGCTCCTACTTTCGCTTTCTTTTTTTTGTGCTTTCTTTGTTGTTGTGTCATGGGTGCCGCATCTTCAAGTCCGCTTCTCCTGGCCCTAGATGGCCTGTTACGTTCCAAGGGACTGGAAGTGAAACATAGTACTTTACAGAGATTTTTACAGAAGATAGATATCGCTGCACCGTGGTTTGCATTTTCGGGCAGCCTTACTGTGCCTAGTTGGGATAAATTAGGCAAAGATCTTGACTTTGCTTCTGAGCAGGGCATATTAGAGGGTGGGGTGATACCCCTTTGGAAAATGGTCCGTGGTTGCCTTACAGATGGTAAATGCCAGGAAGCTGTGAGTGAGGGTCAAGCTATTCTTGAGCAACTGCATGAGGAAAAATCTGAAGGATCATGTAGTGAAGTGGCAGAGAGTATTAAAAGTAACAGTAGTGAGAAGGCAAAAGAGCCTGAAGATAAAAATAGGAGAAGGCTCTACCCAGACTTGACCGAATTAAAAACGCCTGAGAACACAAGCGACTCAGAGAGTTCTGAGGACCTTGATATATTGTTACAACAACTACATAAGATAAAAATGAAAAAGAAGAAAAAGGAGACACAGGGCACGCAGGCCTACTGTAAGAAGGGGAAGGGAGTTAACATCGGTCAACAAAACTCTGAGGAGGAGGAGGTAGAATATCTAGAAGAAGATATGGTGCCGATTGCCCCACCTCCGTATGTGGGGGGGAGCCAAGGTTCCGGGAGATCTTTTCATGCACAAGTTTGGAGGACAGTTAAGACAGATATGGGACTTGCATACCCTGTATTTCAGGACAATAACAGGGGAAGATATCATGAGCCTTTAGACTTTAAGATAATTAAAACCTTGGCAGAATCTGTCCGCACTTATGGCATAGATGCCGCTTTCACTCTCACTCAGGTGGAGGGACTTACTAGATTTTGCATGACTCCCTCAGATTGGGCTAGTCTAGTCCGCGCTTGTGTTTCCCCAGGGAAATATTAGGAGTCCAAAGTTGGCTGTTTAATGTTTCTGGAAGTACCCAAGACTCGGAGCGAGGTAGGAGGCTTAAAATTTCTGCAAATAATTCACAATTATCTAATGCTACATTACCCTCCGCAGCAGTCCATCTCCAATCTCCGTTCCTGTTTCTTTTGGCTAATGTTACATTACAGGGGATGCTTAATTGTTCTAATATTACCTGTTATTTGTCTGAGTGTTGGAATGGCTCCTGGACTACGGCAATGGTTATGAAAATTCCAACTTTTGTCCCGATCCCGGTTACTGCAGATCCAGAGTCATTTCCTATTGTTGAACTGATTAGAGCCCGTAGAGATTTTGAAATTACGGCAGCCATAGTGACAGCTGTGGCGGTATCTGCTGCTGCAGCAGTTATAGCTGGAGTAGCCATGGCCAGCCAGGTACAAACTGCTGCCACTATTAATCAGGTTATTCAACAAACATCCACCATACTTGAATCTCAAAGTAGAATTAATCAACACATTTTATCTGGGATTCTGGCTGCTAATCAAAGGATAGATCTGCTTCAAGCTCAAGTTGAGGAATTGTCTGACCTAGTACATTTGGGTTGTGTTGATCAACGTGCACATTTATGTATAACCTCTGTCAGATTTTATGATTCCAGAAATGCCTCCCACATCATCGGGGAGTATCCATCCGGAACCTGGTCCATGGAAGCAGAAAACATGATCCAGTCTCAACTAACCCAGATAGCTGTCTTGAACAGTACCCGTGTCGATCCCGTGACTTTGGGTCAATTCACCGATTGGATATCTTCTGCTTTTTCCTTCTTCAAAGAGTGGGTGGGAGTAGGCATTTTTGGTGCAATGTGTTGCTTCGGTGTTGTACTTTGTTTGTGGCTTCTCTGTCGCCTTAAAACTCGCCATGCACAAGAAAAGGCTATGATCATACAAGCTCTTGCAGCTTTAGAAAATGGCAACTCGCCTCAAGTCTGGCTTGCGCATCTTAAGCAGTAAACCTTTGTCATGGTCGTTACACCCCAAGTTATTATAACATTGCACTGGGATCGACATGACTTTCCTTGTTATTCTCTTAGTGTTGGAAAGCCCTTGCACTCTGCCGGTCTTACTGCCATTGCACGCAGATGGGTTTCCACACTAGTACTTTTCTATCGCCTTGAAGTTCGTGCCTTTCTTTCAGGGTGCTGTCAACTTGTTTGTCATTATAAACAGTCGCAGTTCAGCCTCAGCTACCCCCCTTCGTCCACCATCGTCACGATACAGGATGCGAGGCAAGGCACTGCACTTGAGTGATCCTTGATGTGGACCTCAAGGAGAGCATGTCCTATTGCATGCGGGTTCGACGCGTCCACGCCCCGCCCCACGAAAAAAGGCGTCGGCTGATATGGCCTCAGATCTGGGGAAGGGCCCTCCTTGGGACTGAGCCATACTATGCAGCCACTTCTGCACAGTGGGATAGGACCTCTACTCTCGCCTGTATTGTTTTAATAAAACAGAAAAGGGGGAACTGTGGTGAGCCGCTTCTGCCGTTTCTGCAGATTATGGTCGCCATTACAAGATGGCGCTGGCTCCGCTGTGGTCTGTGACAAACAATTTCTTATCTGGGAAAGTTGGCACATGATTTTTCACCACCCTGTGAGAAAGTTCCACGCGGCAGCTTTGCATTGGGGCTTGGGATGCTTTATTAAGGCTGGGAGGGGCACCCGAGAGGAAGAAGAAGAAATATCCAGGGACCTGAATAAAACTGTTGAAAGAAGATTCTCGAGTTGCGTCTTCCTTGCGGGCAAGGGGTCGCGACAAAAGACAATATCTCTGACTTTTCGAATTAGTGGGAAGTAGAAAGATCCTTCTGGGGGCCATCCGACTCCAAAGGTGGGCCATTCTGAGGCACAGAGAGTCTGCCAGGTCCGGCATTTTACTGAAAAAGAAAGATTCTGAGCCCTTAAGCGGACTTCGGTCCAGTGATCAAGGGTCAGGGACAGAGGCGTTGAAGTGCTCTGTCCCATAATGAAAGATACACAAACAGTGAAAGCAATGACACACGACACAGACAAGACAATAAAGACAGACAATGGACGCCCAACACTGAGACCAGGACTGAGTAGCCGGCAAAACCTGATGGGCTGGCAATACTGAATCCGAAACAAAATATCACCGAGTCGAGGAGATTATTGTTCCTCGATTTCCCGAGTCCTCTGGGGCGTCTCCCAGGGATGTGGCCTGTGGCTCTGTGACACGTCTGTCAACCACCGTTGGAGAGAGCTCACGCTCTTCACCGACAGCCACTTTGCCAAGCCCTAACCTGAAACCTGAAACCGGAAAGAGGCGCCTTACTTACCCCGAGAGGAGCCTGTTGGGGTCTTTCGTCCACCGCTGCCGGATCTCGGTGGAACATCCAGATGTAAAGGTCAGACGAGTGTCGGAGGAAGAGACCACCAAGAGACTGTCTCATGCAACAGCAAAGGGTTTATTGGGGGTCCAGCATGCTGGGGCTCAGAGCTCACTTGAATAGAGCAGAGAGAGAGAGCCCGGGGAACAGCTTAAGCAGAGCTTATATACTTTCCTTGGAGAGGGCAGGGACTTCACATACAGCATAGCCAATCATTGCACGGTTTCTGGGAGGGGTTGTTTTCGTAGAGCAACCAGATGATCAGTGGGAATTTCCGGGAGTTGTTTTCAACTTCTACATGAGTTTCAGGTCCCAGGAAAACAGAACTTAATTCTTACATTCTTAACCTTTTCAGAATGATCCAGACTCAGAAAAGTCAAGGTTTGACTATTTTGTCTCATGTGTGGAAGCTAGAGATAAAAAGGGAATACAAAGGAGGATCTCAGTAAAAGGGAAAGGAAAGCAACAGAGTAGAAACAGGGGTTAGAGTGGGGAATGACCAAGAGAAAGGGGAAGAACTGCACAATGAAGCTGACCAGCTCACGCTGTGATGAATATACCACAGTGCGTCACAACTTAATATAGAACTGCAAGGCACAGGTTTAAAATACTCCAGTTAGAATGCCAATTATCAAGAATACACACAACGTAAGTGTTGGTGAGGATGTGGGGGAAAAAGCACACTTATACACTGCTGGTGGGACTACAAGTTGGTGCAAACACTCTGGAAAGCAGTATGGAGATTCCTTGGAAAGTTTGGAATGGAACCACCATTTGACCCAGCTATCCCTCTCCTCAGTTTATACCCAAGGAACTTAAAATCAGCATACTACAGTGATGCAGCCACATCAATGTTTATAGCAGCTCAATTCACAATAGCTAAACTATGGAACCAACCTGGGTGTCCTTCAAGAAATGAATGAAAAAAGAAACGGTTGTATAGATACACAATGAAATATTACTCAGCCTTAAAGAAGAATAAAATTATGGCCTCTGTAGATAAATGGATGGAGTTGGAGATGATGCTAAGCAAAACAAGTCAATCCTCGAAACCCAAAGACCAAATGTTTTCCCTTATACAGATGCTGAACCATAATTGAGAGAAGAATGGGAAGAATGGAGGAACTCTGAATTGGGCAGAGGGGAGTAGGAGGAGAGGACAGGGCATGCGGGTAGGAAAGATGGTGGAATGAAGTGGACATCATTACCCTAGCTAGATGTAGATGTATAATTGCACAAATGGTGTGACTCCGCACTTGGTACAACCAAAGAAAGGAAAAGTTGGCTCCACTTGTGTTCAAAGAATTAAAGTGCATTCTGTTGTCATGTTTAACTCATCAGAATGAATGAATGAATGATGGAAGGTCAGCAGAGCAGAGGAAAGGGACAAGAAGGAGAGGAAATGAGGCAAACAGGGGAATTAAAATGGAGCCAACGATGCCACATGAACTCACAAATATGTCAGAAATAAGCCCACTATTATGTTTAAGTAAAATGGGCTAAAAAATATTTTAAAAATATGTTGTTGCTGTGACGATTCCTGGTGGATGTGCACATGTAATGTTTATAACACAAACATTACAATTGCTTCCATACTTTTTATTTACTTATCATGTAAAATAAGATTATTTATTTTATGGAAGTGTTCAGGAACATTCCATTGCATTTCATGACAGTTGAGTCTGAGATATCATGAGAGCAATACACCACTCAAGGCCTTCTCCTCCTCTTTTGTAAAGGACCAGGGTTCTTTAAGTTGTATGCAGGAGACTTCAACTGAGGTGGGATAGTAACCTTTCTATGACTTCTATTTTAAGATTAATCATGGTTTAAGGAGACATATATGGTGTCACATTAACAAGGGTGAAACTATGATAATTTTAGGTGTCAACTTGACAGGATGAATGAAGACCCAGATACCTAGTGAAGCATTAATTACCGTCAAAGACTGGTACACACTGTGCCCATTCCTTTTCTGCAGGAGGAAAACCCAGGTGGCTTCGCATTTGATTAGAATGATAAGCTGTCCAGGTGTGCAGGTGTGTCTGAGGTGTGGCCAGAGATTAGCATGTACTCAGGGAACTGAGAAGGGGGACCCACCCTGGACGTGGGCAGGCCCAATCCGACGGTGGGAGGTAAGAACAGAATAAAAGGCAGAGAGGGACCCACCTTCTCTCTCTCCCTAGAGCTGGGACACCCTTTGGCTTGGACATCAGAACGCCAGGTGCTGGGCCCAAGGACCCCAGGACTCGCCGCAGCTCTTTCCGTGGCCTCAAGAGAGGTGCCCATCACCGCCCAGGTCTGCAGCCTCCATTCCTGGACGGAGCCACACGAACAGCACCACAGGGTCTCAGCCTGAGGACGGCCTGTCCTGGCCTCCAGCAGCACGTGAGCCACTTTCCCCAGGCAGCGCCCTCCATGCGTCTGCATCCCTCTGTGTGCCTCCTGCTAGGTGCTGGCTGGGTCTCTCTGCAGGAGCCTAACTAACGCGTGGGGTGAGGACATGCCACTGGGGGATGAGAGCGGAGACGGCTCTTTCTGTGGGTCTTTCTGACGAGATGCTGGAGGGCTGCCCCTTGCTTGAGCCCCAGGGGAACGGAGGCTGACCTCCTGCACAGGGACAGCAGCAGTCATGTGGGAATGGGCTGCGGCATCTCACTGCCCACTAGAGCAGGACGTGGGCCTCTGGAGCAGCTCTCGAGAACTGCCTCCCAGAACAAGGGGCCAGGCTGAGAGAGGGCGGGGATGGGAGCAGACCAGAGGCCAGGCTCCTCTGGAGGTGGGAGGACGCCTGGGAGCCCAGAGACGGCTGGCCGGCAAGGAGGGTGGACTGGCTTCGGAGCACAGGCCTTGGCACCCAAGGCCACACCTGGGTGAGGACAGGAGTCAGCAGCACAGCTGCTCACAGGGCCACTCCAGACAGGACGGGCCCTCCTGGAGGGCCTTCCCTCTGGGACAACAGAACTGAAAGAATTCTCCTTCATTTCAGAGACCATGACAGCAAAAAAAATTGCAGTGATTGGCGCCGGGGTCAGCGGATTAGGGGCCATTAAGAGCTGCCTGGAGGAGGGACTGGAGCCCACATGTTTTGAAAAAGGCAGCGACATTGGAGGACTGTGGAGATACGAGGTAATTCTGTGCTCCTTCCGTGAAGTGCCAGCTGTGTCTGTGAAGAGATGCTTCCTCTCTGACAGGAACCAAACTCTGTCCACTCTGAGCAATTCCTCCTTCACTCCTTGGTGTCCCTTATAAGTGGCAATGTCCACACTGAGACGAAGCTGAAACTCCCGAGGCTTGCAGGACCCTCCTTCCTGCATTTCCCTGACAGCCCCCAGGAGCACTTGGGCTTCTGCACATAAAACTGACATGCCCTTCTGCTTGGCAGACTTGGGGACAGGCCGGAGGTCACCTGCATGCAGACCCTGGCCCTTCCCTGCACACCGCGGGTCACCTTCTCGCTGCTCTGTGGGCGGGTTGGATGCAGTTGAAAGCAGTGTGTTCACCATGGACCCTCCATGATGGACAGAGGCAGCTCACGCTTCTGAACAACAGCGAGACTTTAAGCACGTGGCACACAGTCTTCACACAGTGTCCCCCTTCGTGGCCCTGCCTGATTTCACCTGGTGTGTCACTTAGTGAGTTGACACACCACGTGTTCATGACTGCTTCCTCCCGGGTTACGTGGTGCCTATTTCCAGGGCCTCCTCCTAATCCATGTTCCTCCAGCTGCGAGGCTGAATTTCTCCTGGGGAAACTTCTCTTCACCACTCGGTTTTATGTTTCTTCCTTTTGGGTTGGTTTAGAATTTGTTTCTTGTGTTGTGTTTTGATTACTTTTAATGTTTTTATTAGGGTGTTATATTTACAAATAATAGTGGGTTCATAGAGACATAGCCACAGGTATAAAGTTCATAATTTGCTCCAGTTCATTCCTGGTATATCCCTTTCCCTCTTCTCCTCCTCCCCCCGTCCTTCCTGGGTTTTCTGATCTGTCTGGACATTTTCCTGTTGGGAGACGACCAGGGCACACTTAGGGTCCATCATCATGAAGAGGATCCTACTCATCTCATCTCCACATGGGCTGACTCCAGCACCTCCTTACTGCTCAGCTCCATTGCAGAGACCCACAAGGACCACTAGTCCCAAACCCACAGGCTGATGGCCCCCTCTCGTTCCCCACTGTGTGCCTGAACACTGGAGGCCACGGCCGGTTTGCTTCCCACAGGAGACCCCCGACACTGGACGAGCTGGGATATACAAATCCTTGACCTGCAACACCTCCAAGGAGATGACAGCCTTCAGCGACTACCCCGTCCCTGACCATTTTCCCAACTACATGCACAATTCCAAAATGATGGAGTACCTCAGGATGTACGCCAGGCACTTTGGTCTCATGCAACACATCGAGTTCCTGGTAAGGAAGGCAAACCCTGCTCAGCACCTCTACGTGGGTCCTCGCAAAGTCTTCACAAGCCAGAGCAGGCAGAGGCGCCCGTCCAGTGTGCATGTCCACCACAGTTCTAGAGAGACCTGGTGTCTCGGCACATTCTCTACATTAGTGAAGACATTTCCAACTTAGGTCCCCTCCAAGGTGCACTGTCTCTGCATTGGTCCCAAAGCTGAGGCTTCAGTTAATCATATTAGATGTAGAATACAGGTTTAGGAATGGAATTTCATGTATTATGTTGCCCAACGTACCTCAATCCTAGGGAAGAAACAATTCTAGGAGGTTGTTGTGCATACAATTATAAAATCCCAGGAGCTATGGAGAGAGAAGCCACCACCCACCTTATTGTGAACCCAGAGTTCTCTGGGGAATGGAGATGAGCAGTGCTCTAGCACTAAGGCTGCCTTGGCCCTTGCTTCCCAGGCGAAGGTGTGCAGTGTGAGGAAGCGCCCCGATTTTTCATCCTCTGGCCAGTGGGATGTTGTGGTAGAAGCTGATGGGAAGCAGCAATCCTACATCTTCGACGGGGTCATGATCTGCAGCGGCCATTACACTGAGAAGCATTTGCCCTTACAGGAGTTTGCAGGTATTTAACTGATGAGTGTGAGGGACAGATCTTTGAATCCAAGAATCTCCGTGCCCACGCTAGCATGGGCACCGACAGAAGCGTTTTCCTGGCACAGTGGGGTGCAGAGAGGAGCACTCAGATGATAGAGGTACCCCTGGAACTGGAAGCCCAGCCTTCCCCAGGCAGCCAAGGCAGGGGTCTGGCCTTCCAGGAAGAAGAAGCAAGTGAGCAATGGAGTGTGGCCTGGCCAGGAGAACACACCCTTGCTGTGGGAGGAGCAGGTGTGTGGGCAGGAGAGGTAGGCGGGAGTCAGTGAGCAACCAGTGCAGTCTGTGAGAGTGTGTATGTGCATGTGTGTGTATGAGTGTGCGATGTGTGAGTGTGCATGTGTGTGCGTGTGAGTGTGCACTTGTGTGTGAGTGTGTGCAAGTGTGTGTGTGTGTGCATGTGTGTCAGTGTGAGTGTGCACTTGTGTGTATGAGTGTGTGCACACATGTGTGAGTATGTGTGCATGTGTGTCAGTGTGTGTGTGCATGTGTGTGTGTGCATGTTTGTGAATGTCTGTTAGTGTGCGAGTGTATTCTGCAAGGGTGTGTGTTCGTGTCTGTGTGCATGTGTGTGTATGCATGTGTGTGCATATGTGTGTCTGTGCATGTGTATGTGCATATGTGTTTGTGTGCCTGTGTGTGCCCTTGAAGGGACTGCTACCTGATGCATTTGTACTTACACAGGTCTGTCTTGAAGTGGTGGGAAGATGGTTTGACAGGGAGAAAGACCAAAGCAGACACATGAATAACGAGGAGATCTTGACAGTCCCCAAAGAGAAGTGAGGGAGGGCTGAGTGAAGACGGGTAAAACATACACCTGTAGCAACGTCTGTGATATTTGTGGAATACAATCAAAATTGTCAAGAACCTCTGAGACTACTCATTCGCATTTGTCCTAATCAACAGAGCTGCTGACGGGCGCCTGTCTCTGGAGCTACTGAAATGTGACACACACGCTCGTTTACAATATATGCATTGTAAACACATGGCAACGTGGGTAAAAGCCTCAGAGTACCTCTGTGGGCTGATTATACACTAGCCTGTTAGATTAAGCTAGTTAAATAAATATATCATTAAAACTTCCACACAGTATCCTGCTGACCACTCTAACCTCTAAAGCCGCGGTCAGCTTCCTTGGACAGCACTCTGCACGCTCACCTGGCTAAGGACCTTTGTGCATAATTCCTTCTCAGTGTTACAAGAAGTGAAGAGCAGTTTCTCGTATATCAGTGGAGAATCAGAAAAAGACAAGAACATCCCAAGGTAGCACTAGTGAGCACAGTGAAAAAACTTCAGGTTGGGTTTTAAGGGACATTCGTCTGCTGGATTTTGGTCTCAGCCGTATCCACACTGCCTCTGAACCTTTTGTTCCTTGCACAGCCTGGTTCTGTCATTCCGGCAGTGCCTGACCCACAGCAGCAAAGCGGGTGGAAGAGACACAGCCTCAGCTTGGAGGCACACTGTGCCAGACCCCGTTCCCGTCTGTGCTGCTGACGTGGGTTGCTCCTCTCCTCCCAGGCATCCAGAAGTTCCGGGGCAGGTACCTGCACAGCTGGGAGTACAAGCAGCCAGACTCTTTTGCCGGGAAGAGAGTGGTTGTGATTGGCATCGGGAACTCTGGAGCAGATGTGGCTGGCGAGATCAGTCGTGTTGCTGAGCAGGTTGGCATTTTACACTCATTCTGACATCAAGGTGAGAAGACAGAGTTGTTACTGGGCGGCTTCTCCTCTCTCGCAGGTTTTCCTCAGCACGAGACGAGGCGCGTGGATTTGGAACCGGGTGTGGGATGACGGCAACCCCATGGACACCGCCCTCTTCACCCGGTACAATAGGGCACTCCAAAAACTACTGCCCTCGTTCCTCATCAACAGGTGGGCAGAGAAGAAACTGAACGCAAGGTTCAACCACGCCAACTACGGGCTGCAGGCTGCACACAGGTACGTGCACCTGGGCTGGGACGGCCAGGCAGCTCAGCAGAGTCGGTGGCCCCAGAGGCACAGGAGCAGGGCATGCCCCATGCTAACACCTGGCAGGACTTTTTACTCCTTTAGTCATTCCTGCTCCTTCCTGTGGGGTGCCACAGCAAAGCCAAGGGGGGGGGGGGCGCAGGGAACTCAGCGCTGGTCTCATGAGACCTGTGCCACCTGCCATGCCACCCTTCATAGCACGTGCCCCTTCACTCTCTGAATTCTAAACAAGATCCACAGCGACCCTCAGGCTGACGTCCATCAGGACAGGTCCAACATCCACACGGACAGGCCCCACACTCAGGCGCAGCCACCCCTGGCCCTCCTCACTGCTGTGACCTCTGTCCTGCTCCTCTAGGACCCATGACCATGGCCACCCTAGAACTCACCACCCAGGCGGGCAGTGCCCCTGGATGTCCCAGGACCCCTCTTGCTTGGGGCCTCTCACCCCAGCAGTTCTGACCAGGACCGGCCCTCCCTCCTGGCCACACTCGCCTGGCTCTTCCCCCTCTGGGGCCTTTGGTCCCTCCCCCACCTGACCCAGGAGCTTGGTGTTGTCCCTGTCTCCATTCCTGCTCCTCTCCCCTCCTTCCCTAGAGGTTCCTGAATTTAAAAAAATAGTCAAATAAAAGATTGTAAAGACTTCAACTAGGCCAAGCAGGCAGCGACAGCAGAGAATCAGTTCTCACAAGTATGTGCAGGAAGAAATCATGTAGCTCAGGACTAGACTCATGAGGTGGGTGTGCGACTCCAGCTTCTTGCAAAGCACAGGTTTTTCAGGATGTAGAAGACGGGTAGTGACAGCAAAGGACGCCTGGGAATAGAGGGACTCGCAGCTCAAACCTCCTGTTGCAGTCTCCAAGCGTTGGCTGTCTCTAAGCCCCACTCTCCCCACGAGGGTCACACTGTTTGAGTAGCTCTGTTTTTTGGTTTGGGCCGCACAGTTTTTCTGTTTTTTTTTTCTTTTTTGTTCATTTGGCAGCAAGTCTTAGGAAAGGATATACATAAAAGAGTATGTACAAATATGCTTACTCTTTTATCTGTATTCTCATTTCTTTCTTGTCCTTAACCCACAGGAATCCTGCAGACGTGCATCTCTCTGTGTGATCTGCACACAGGCACGTCTTGTCGTTGACTGCGGCTCCCCTCCCTCCCACCCTATCTTACCCTACATCTCTCCCCTTCCCATGGTTCCCTTTCCCTTCCCTCACCTTTTTTTTCCAGTTTACGTGTATGAAATTAAAAAGTTCTTGGGTTGTTTTTTTGTTGTTGTTGGCATATTTTTGCTTAACATGATGTCCTTCTGTGCCATCCATTTTCTGACAATGACATGATTTCATTCTTCCTCATGACTGAGTAATACTCCATTATATAAATGGACCGCATATTCTTGGTCCATTTATCTACCTCCAGGCTCCCAAGCTGATTCCATGACTTGGTTAGTTTGAATAGTGCCAGTTGACATTGGTATTCAGCTTGTAGTGGACTTTCAACTAAGATGTTGTGACGCGTCCAGCTTGGATGTTTTGACTCAGGACTATTTTGGCTGTTCAGGGTCTTTTGTGCTTAGGTTTGAATTTAGGATGTTCTTTCTAGTTCTGTGAATAACGTCTCTGGTATTTTGATGGGAACTGCACTGAATCTGTAGATCATTTTGGGGTGGGACACTTTAACAAGATTGTCTCACTCCATGAACACGGGAGGCCTTTTCACATTCTACCATCTCCTTCAGCCTCTTTCTTCAGTTTGATTCATTTTGTAGAGGTCTTTACGTTTTGTTGGGTTGGGTTCTAGAATTTTTTTTTTTTGAGGCTGTTGTGAATGGCATTAGAGATCTCATTATTGACATATAGAAAAGCTCCTGGATTTCACAGGTGGCTTCTGTGTCCTGCTGCTCTGGTTCTAAGACACTTAGAGGAGGAGGCTCGGGGGTTCCTGGGGGCGTAATCCTATCATCTGCAACCAGGACAGTGTGGCTTCCCCCTTCCCCATGCTTACCTTTAGTCTCTTTCTCTTACCTAGTTTCAGAGGCTAGAATTTCAAGTACTGATGAATAAGAGTGGTGAGAAGGCACACCCTTGGGTAGCTCCTGGCTTCAGATGAGAGGCTTCCACTTTTCCCATTTGTCATGTAAGGTCTGTCACTTTGCAGTGGGATCCTCCATACCTAATTTGTTCAGGACTTTATCCTAAAGGAATATCAAGTTTATCCAAGGCTTTTCCTGATTCTGAAGATTCTTCAGTTTTATTTTGACTCTGCTTTGATTCCCTATTACATTTTCAGTTTGTATATATAGAGCAAGCCTTGCATCCCTGGAACGAAACCAACTTGACTGTGATGGAGACCTTTTAGACGTGCCACTGACTTCACTTTGCAGGGTTTCATTGAGGATATTTTCATCTAAGCTCAACAAGGATGCTGGTTTATACTTTGCTCTCTTTTTCTTTTTGTTGTTGTATCTTTATCAGCTTTTCACACTAGGATGATCCTGCTTTGCAGAATTGGAAGAGGTCCTTCCCTCTGTGTCTTAGGAACACTTTGAGGAGCACTGCATTAGTTCTTCTTTAAAAATTTGGTGAAATTCACAGTGAGTCCCTCCAGTCCTCAGCTTGCTTGTTAGAAGACTTTTTATTACTGCTTCAATCTCAATGCTTCTTATTGATCATTTGAGTTTTTATATCCTCTTTGTTCAATTTTGGAAGGTCATATGTGCCCAGAAATGTGTGCATTTTTTGAGATTTTCTAATTTATTGACATATCATTACTCATATTTTCCCTGGTATCATTTGAATTTCAGTAGTTATCTGTTGCAATGTCCTCTTTTCACCTCTAATTCTGTTTTGGAAGTTCTTCTCTCTGGCTAGTTAAGGGTTTGTCAATTTTGTTGACCTTTTCAAAGAATTATTTGTTTCATTGATCCTTTGTGTTGTTCTTTTAGTCCCTATTCTATTTATTTCTTCCATGATCTTTATGATTTGTTTCCTTCTACTGATTGTGAATTTAGTATGCACTTTTTCTAAGACCTTGAGATGCATCATTAGGTTTCTATTGGAGGTATTTTTTAATGCAGGCACTCATGGCTCAAACCTCCTCTTTGTGCTGCTCCGCTGTTTCCCACAGTTTCTGCTATGGGTTGTGTTTTCATTCAGTTCTAAGAATTTTAAATGATTTTTTTAGTGATCCATTATTCGTTCAAAAATATATTATTCCATCTCCGTGTGTTTATATAATTTCTGCAGTTTCTCTTGCCATTGATTTCTAGTTTCATTACATTATGATTTGATAAGGTATGCAAATTTGTTTCAATTCTTTGCTTGGATAAGACTTTCCGATGGCCTAATATATAATCTGTTTTGAAAAAAGTTTCATGTGTTGACAAAAAAATGTATATTCTGCTGATGTTCGATGGAATTTTCTGTAGATGTCTGTTAAGTCCATTTGATTTATAGTATAACTTAGATGTTCATTTGCAGTATTGTTTTTTTTTTGGGGGGGGGTGTTGAGGTTTTGTTTTGGTTTGATTTGGTCTTGATGATCTGTGGGTGAGACAGGGGTGTTGGATTCACCCTGTTCTTATTGTCTTGGGCCCTGTCTCTCTCCCTTTATTGTTAATAGTCTTTGTTTGATAAGATTGGGAGCCCCAACATATGTTTATAACTGTTATATCTTCTTGATGAACTGCTCCCCTTATCAATATGTAGTAGCTTAAAGCCTGTTTTGTCAGATATGAGTAGGGTGGTTCCTTTTAGAGTACATTTTCTTGGAATACCATTCTCCATCATTATTTTCAAGGTGTGACTTTTTTGCTGATGAGGTGAGTTTCTTGCAGAAAGAAGACACAGGCTTTTCTTTTTTAATCTAATCACACAGTCTGCATATTTTAATTGGAGAATTAAGACCATTTATATTCAGGAAGGTCTTTTTTTTTCAGTTATAGATAGACTTTATTTTTATGTAGTGCTGAGGATTGAGCCCAGAGCCTCAGACCTGCTAGGCAAGTGCTCTAACACTGAGCCACACCCCAAGCCCATCCAGGGTTATTTTTGAAAGGTATATATTTGTTCCTATCGTGTGATTATTTTTCTTCTGGGTGTTTTAAATATCCTATGTTCATTTCTTCATCTCTTATTCTTCTTGGAGCTTGAAGTTTTTGTGCATTAGTACTGTTTGATTCTTTACTAATTCTCCTTTGCTAATCTGTTCTTTCAGTGAACTTTACTTTTCTTCTCTGCCTTCATCATTGTTTACTGTTCTTCCTCTTCAGGGTGTATGATTTCCTTAAGTACCTTCTGTAAAGCTGGTTGACTGGTCACAAGTTGCCTTACCTCAAGCTTCTCTAAGGACTTCATTACTTCCTCTATTCTGGAGGATGTCTTAGCTGAGTGTAGTAATCTAAGTTGGCAATTATTTTCTTGAAACACCCTTTGACGTCCTCCTTACCTTTATAATTTCTACTGAGAAATCTGCTGACATTTATGGAGGAAAAAATAAGTAAACAGTTCCTCCTAGCTGAGGTGTTGGAAACATGGTCTCCAGATGGCAAAGGTTGGAATTCAACAGGTGAGGGAGGGACAGGGAGTGGGGGTCACAGCTGCTGCTTGCTAGAATTCCTCTCAGGTCTCACAAAACAAGTTGGACAAAGAGCAGACTGCATTGTACATTTCTCACTGAAAACATTAAGGGCATGTTGACCATGCCAAGAGTAGGTTCTCTCCAGTGACTTTAGACTGTGTAACTAGGGGCATGGCACAAGTCAGAGCCACAGCAAGCCCCTCTCACTGAGCGGTTTGGTGGAGCGTGGCTAGCACTAGGAGATACAGTCACTCCCAAGAGAATGTAGACTGAATGTCCAGGGGTGTGACAAATGTCCAAGGTGCAGCACATCCCAGAATACCTCTGAGGGGGGAGGAGCAACTGGACCGCCTAGTTTTGTGCTGGGATTGCTAACCTTCATCGCAGCACCTTTGAACCCTGCCTCCCACACAAAATAAGTGACAGGTCACTTTGTGTCACAGGGCAGGATCACTGAACCTCTGTCCCCTCCACTCCCTTCCCACTGTAAGCCACTTCCCCACCCAGCATAAACTCCTCAGCAAACTTGTGTCAGAGGCACTTCCCAAGCCCTGGCTGTCTCTAGGGCCACTGCCTGCTGCCGCAGTCTGGCTGGGCACAAAATAACCGAGCCGCCACACAGCCTTGTAGGTTTAAAACAGGAACTCCTTTTTTCTCCGCACTCCCAGGAACGCCACGCACGCAGACTTCTTCCAGGACACACCACACACCAACCGGAAATCCCTCCTCCGGAAATCCCTCCTCCCGCACTTCCCCAACCAATGGGAACTCTCCGGGAATCCCTGGGAGAACTCCAAAGTAGCAGGGCGAGGCAGACAGCAGGGGTCTAATATACAATTGAATACACAGCTTAACATAACCATCATCATCTCAATGGCTTGCTGGCGTCACCTCTCAACCACTCGTTCTGGCAAAAATGTCATGTGTCATCCCGACTCCGCTATGGCTCTCAGCAGCCTGCGGAGTCAGCATACCCAAGTGTCCCCCGGGACCTGAAGAGGTGATTATGCCAAGATTCCTGGTTCCCACAATAGTTTAGTCCCAAACAATAGGACCTCACAGTGGTTCCCAGCTATAACCTCTGAGGGTTTGCTGAGAGATGCAAGGAGTCCTGCCCTGAAGCTGCAGTTTCTCAGACTCCAGGAGACCTGCTTCTTTAAGTCTTTAGTCTGCCCGGGACAGCCTTCTACACCAGCCTTCTACTACCTTCTACACCAGGCTGTGACTCCTTCTCTTTCACCTTCATCCCCTCAGAAGAACCTTCTTCCCCAAACCAAGCTGCCAGAGCCCCAAGCGAACACATTCTATTTCTGATGCTTCGTTACTCTCTCTAGTCTCTGAATCCACCAAGTTTTTTGTTTTGTTTTGTTTTTTAATCTCTGGTATCAACTTCAGTGCTCAGACACAGTCCCTCACCTCCAGGAGAGTAACAGCTGTGGTTTTATTTCCATCCTATGGAGGAGCAAACTAGTGTTGGCTCTCTCTTCCACCATCTTTCTGTTTTCAAAGATTCCTGTTCAAGTCCTTCAGTAGCTCTTTGTAGATCACTGATAAAGATTAATGATGAATTCATGCAAATCCTTACTTGGTATCAAGTAAGTTAAAATTGAAGGATTTTATTCCTGATAAACATATAAATAGAGTTCATGTTTATTATCACATACTTAGCACAATCTCATCTGGTTGTTGAGCCATCATTCTAATTATAGATTAGGAAACCAAAGATAAAATGTTTCCTGCCTTTTCCAAGATTTCACAGCTGGTAAGTGGCACGATCAATGCAGAGGCAAAATTCTGTGTCTAAAACCAAGTTCTTAACCAAGAAACTACATTTCCTTACCTTTCTAGAGATATCAATTTAAAAAAAAAACAGATACTATGGTGCATTTGAGATCATTTACCACAACTTCTTTATAAACAAAATTCATGCACACTTCTTCATATTACATTCCCTATAATGCAGATTTCTCAGCCATCAGTCTACCTTCAGTGACGACCTGCCAAATCGCATAATCACTGGAAAAGTGCGGATGAAACCAAACGTGAAGGAGTTCACCGAGACGTCCGCCATCTTTGAGGATGGCACTGAAGAGAAGGTTGACACTGTCCTCTTTGCCACAGGATACACCTTCTCTTTCCCTTTCTTGGAGGATGACTTAGCAATCCTGGACAGCCAGCATTCCATGTATAAGTTTGTCTTCCCTCCTCAGCTGGAGAAGCCAACACTGGCTTTCATCGGCCTCCTGCAGCCCGTGGGGGCCCTCATCCCCACAGCAGAACTCCAGAGCCGATGGGCTGTGCGCGTGTTCCAAGGTAGGCCCGCTCTTCTACGTGATTATGCATGAATGGCAAGGCACCCAGAGCTCTTCTGTCCAATTTACCTTTTACCAAAGCACCTAAGATTTCACCATTAGAGATTCATGGCTTTTGGACTCTCTGGAAGTTTCAGTTTGATTTTCTAAGAGAATTCTGTTAAAAGGAAAGTAACCAAATAATAACAATAGAAAACATGTAAAACTGTCATCAGGCTACAATTGAGTACTGGGTATCCATTCACTTAGTTCTTTTCAGTAGAAAGTTAATTTAAGGGAGAGCATTATGGAAGCAGAAATTGGCCAGGGCAGAAGGCCAGCAAGGGAGAAGCTACCTGTGAACAGAATGCAGAAAGTTAGGGAAGTCACTTTACGTTTCAGGTAAACTCCAAATACGTGGCTCATATTCTGGCTCACTTCCCAAGTCCTTACCCAGGTTGATGCCTCTGAACCCAGCAACCCTGGGGCCAGACAGAAACCAGGTTCCACGGGCAGAGTGGCATGACAGCTGCTGAGAGCCAGAGAAGCTGGCTGAATCACATGTGTCCCCTTCCCTCACATCCCCAAATAACTCTGATATCTTCCCCATGCTCCAAAGAATGAGAAGTCAGGGTTCCATCTTCTCAGGACATGTCTTCCCTGAAGGGTCACCATGGGCATACAGAGTGGCTGCCCTCACTGAATCCTCTGCCTTCTGAGCCATACACTTGCCAGTTAGGTGAGTCAGGAAGCTATCTAGTGCCTGCTTTTCACTGCATGAGGCAGGAATGTGCATCCAGGTGGCCTGTGATCCTTCTCTGTCTAACCTCATTTCCTGAAGTCACGGATGTGTGATCTGGACACATATACTCACAACTTGTCCATGCCATGCTGATGGCCACTGAGGATGACTAGAAACAATGATGCCATCAACAGCCTAACACCTGTGATTAGTTGAGCATGTGCATCTCTTGGGGACATACCTAGGAGGAAAACTGATGCTCCACAAGTTGTGCACATGTAATGAGAGATGCCCGTCCATTTCCCAAGTCTGCTCCTGCGCATACACTGCATCCTCTAAAGTCTGTGTTGTAGGACATTTCGTGGTACTCATGAGGAGATCACACTTCTGTGCTACGTCTATGGCACCCGAGTGTTTGGAGAGAGCCCAGGTAAACGCGGTTCCAGAACCATGTGGCTAGCAGCCTTGCTCTTCCTGGACATGCATGGGAGCTGGCCGTGGTACCTACCACCTGCCTTTCACAGGATGCTTCTTGACCTGGGTCTCCAGCTGTCCACCCAGGGAGCAGGGAGGCACACACAAGACACCCATACATGATGGCAGACACCCCATGGCTCTAACCCGACTGGCATCCAGTTTATACCACCTGATGCTGCTCTGGTGCTGGGAACCCAGTGTTGTTACCTGTCTGGAACCTAGGACAACCAGGCCTGGGTGGCCCCTCGTTCCTCTGAGAGATGTTCAAAGACTTACCACGTACACTTCCTGGCAGAGGGCGGAGGAGGGAAGCCTGTATTTTGTGTGCAGGTCACCGCAGACCGGATGCACAGTAGGACTCAGTCTTTAGAGTTGGTGGGACCCAGCAGTGAATATGAAGGAATGGGGTGACTGCAGGCCAATGCCTGCAGGGTTCCCTTAGAGGAGATGGGGGAGCACAGAGCCCAGACTGCGAGTGGGAGGAGGCTACAGGTCCCTGGGTCTGCCTGCCCTGGGTTGAGCTGCTTGCTTTAGTGGCTCCCTTCAGTGCCTGAGCAGCAACCTCACCTGCTGTCCCTGTGACCCTGACAAGGCGCAAAGCATGTAGTTTAGAAGTCAGCGCACCTGCTTCTCCTGTGCTGTCCCGATTCCCTGTCTCCTCCTGACCTGACCTGACCTGCACTTTCTCACGCCTCCTCTCCCCCACGTATACACGCACACACACCACCTTTCACTTTAGCCACTTGTTTCCTTATAAAATGCAGTAGCTACTGTTTGTCCTGGGAGATTTTGCATCAGTGTATGTTTGTGAATACACATAAGAGGTGACATTTTTCCAATGCCTCTGGGGACTCAGAAAACTTTTTTTTAAGACATGAGCCCAAGGTAAGGATCTTTTCAGACAGACCTGCCTCAGAAGCTGGTCACAGTAGAATTTGAGGATCTCTGGAAGATAAAAGTGACCCAGCAATCTCATACTGGGTATATATCCTTCAAGGAAATGAAATCAACATGTCAAAAAGACCCCCTGCACTCCTGTGTTTATCACAGCTCTGTTTACAATACCAGGATAAGGAAGTAGTCTTGAGCAAAATAAATCAGACCCAGAAAGACACCCATGGAATGCTCTCTCATGAGAGGCACCTCAGAGGTGATCCCATAGAGGCTGGGAGATGAGTAGTGGTGGAGACCAGAGAGCCCGTGAAGGGCTGCACCGGGATAGGAAAGGAGCTCTGGTGTTCTGTGGCACGCCAGGCAACTGCAGTTGACAAGATGCTCTGTCAATCTCAAAGTAGTGGAGAGGATCTTCAACGTACCCACCTTAAAGAAATGACAAAGATGACGGTGATGCTTACCCTAACTTCCCTGCATTGAGGACCCCGCATGGGTGCAAACCTCACACTTTAGCTCATAAATCTGTGCAAACATCATGTGTCAACCACAAGCCAGATGTTTGGGGGAATTCTTAGCATTCAAGAACTTTCACTGTGTATTGCAGCTGAGAACCACTCAACAGCCTGCGTCTCCTGGGGAAAGCTGACTCCATCCATCCCGCTCCTGAGAATGCCAGGAGGGAAGTTCACAGGGGTTCCCTATGACCCGATTATGACAACTCTCCTCTTGGAAAACCTCTCTTTGTTTACTCGTCTCGAAGCCCTCCTTACATTTCTCTCTTGCTTTTTCTTAGGACTGAAAAAATTGCCCTCAGAGACTGACATGCTGGCTGAGATCAACAGAAGGAAAACGAGAATGGCCAAAGAGTAAGCACACGATCCCCCGCTAAAGGATACCAAACAGGTGCAGCAGGTCCTATTTGACCTTTGTTTTTGAACAAGGCACCTTAACAAGACCCCTAAGACGATTCTAGCTCTGTGACATTATGGTGACAACGCACATGGGGACAGGTGTGGAAAGCCTGGCTAGAACACCAGTCTCATAGGATGTCCAGTCCCTGCAGTGAGAGGCCTCTACGGTGAAGACCAGAACACGCAGACCAGCCTGTGCTCACTGCCAGAAGCAAGTCAGAAAATCAAAGGAGAAATAATCTGTTCAGAATACAGAAAACACAACACACTCCTCAAGACACAATCAAGAGCAGTTCAGCGGGGCTGGGGTTGTGGCTCAGTGGTAGGGCGTTTGCCTGACACATATGAGGCACTGGGTTCGATTTTCAGCACCACATATAAATAAATGAATTAAATTAAGGTTCATTGACAACTAAATATATTAAAAGAGAGAGAGAGAGAGAGTAGCTCAGGAACATGCGTACTTACTTCAGTGTGGTAAAGACCTACTCTGAGTGCTTTGCAATAAACCTATGCTCACTCGGGGAACTTTGGAGATGATCAGGTGCCCTTCTTACCATTACCTAACTAGACCCACAGTACAGGCCATACAACTAAACAGGACATGTAAATGCCATTTTTGTCTACTTGAGTCTATTGTTGGTTGTTTATATTTTCATTGCTGGAAAAAACGAATTTGCTTTCTGGATTTTGGTTATAGCTTCCTGTATATTCATTTGTAATCAGAACTTGATTTTTTACTATTTTGTCAGTTATAATAGATATTTGTGTATTTTTAGATTTGATATATAGACTAAAAAAATTTGACTAGATAATTAATTCACATTTTTATGATTTGTTTCTTCAATAGAAATTAATATCCTCCAAAATTTGAAAAGTTTTGGTACTTTTAAAATAGGCTTTAATAGTTTTTATCACATATCCCCAAGAATACCTTACCAGCATAGTTTTTTGGTTTTTGCTACTAGGAATTGATCCCAGGGGCACCTAACCACTGAGCCCTATCCCCAGCCTTTTTTTTTTTTTTTTTTTGGATTTTATTTGAAGTCAGGGTCTCACTGAGTTGCTTAGGGCCTCACTAAATTGCTGGGGCTGGCTTTGAACTCATGACCTCCAGCCTCAGCCTCCTGAGCTGCTGGGATTACAGGCATGCACCACCACACCTGGCTACCAGCATAGTTTTTAATGTCCAAAGTCTGAAACAGTTTGCAATTGTTCAGTGCTCAAGGATATAGTTTCTGTACAGAATCAATACATGGAAACATGCATTAAGAAATTTAAGAAAAGTGTTTTAAGAAATAAGTAGAAAAGAAGTTCCCTGGAAACTCGGGGGACAATATGGACTCAAATATGACATAGGGCTTCCAACATTGTCCTTCTTATTCCAGGTTTGTGGACAGCCCCAGAGATGCATCTCGAGTGTACTACATCGACTACATGGATGAGATTGCTTCTGAGCTAGGCGTCAAACCCAACCTGCTCTCCCTCTTCCTCTGGGATGCCAAGCTAGCCAGGGAGGTTTTCTATGGGCCCTGCACCCCATACCAGTACCGCCTACAGGGGCCCGGCAAGTGGACCGGAGCCCGGGCAGCCATCCTCACCCAGAGAGCCCGGATCCTCAAGCCCCTGAGAACACGTGTGCTCCAGCACTCTGGCTCCCGTCCCTCTGGGTGGCTTTGGGTCCGAAGTGTCTGTGCTGTCATCTTTCTCTCTGCTTCCATGGTCATCATCTTGCAGATGATCGGTCATTAAGCTCACGTGGACACAGATGGGCCTGGAACCAGAGAAGAACAAAGTCATATAGATTTGAATTGTAGCAAAAGAAAATAGATTGATTATATGTACACACTGGGCCAATTGGTTACATGGGGAAAGAGTTTTATCACATATGCACATTTAAATCATAACCAAATAATTCCAATAATGATTTCCCGAGGTGCTCTTGAGAGGAGGTATTTGTAAAATGCATAGCTTATTTCTGCTTTTCCAGAAACTATCTGACTTGCCTGACAAGCTTACACACAATGTGGCAGCAGTGCGTGATAAACTGTGGGGTCAGTGAACAAACAAGGGTACAGAAAACAGCGAACCAGGTGTGGGTTCAAAATGGCACCCTAGTCTCAGAGCGTCTCCTCACACATACCCCAGAGTTCCACAGAGACTATCTCTTCAGTGGGAAACGTGACGGCTAACGCTGTCACCAGCTAATGGAACAGCACTAGCAATGGGACACCAACCTGAAATTTTGCAAGTGCAGATGGGATGCAGTGAGAACATCACCTATCTGGTGTTTTTGCTAAAAATGTTTAACTTCAGCTAGATCACGAGGAGCACTGATAGAAATGAAGAAAGAGCTCCATGCACAAGACATCTTACATGTGCTCAAGGAAAGTCAATGTCCTTGAGAAGTCAACTAAAGAGACTAGGAAAATTCCCTGCCTCAATGGAGACTAAAGAGACTTGATAGCCAAACGTATGTTCTGGAAAACTGGTGGTTTAATCTAACACCATGGGTAGATGGTCTGACTGAGTTACTGATAGCATTATCTGGCACAGCAAGGGTTTATGCATATATAGTGAAACGAACTTGCACTAGAGGGTGTATATAGAACTAGGCAGAATAAAGCACTGTGAGATCTACAGCTCGTCTGCAAAAGGTACAGAAAGAAGTGTGTGGGGGTTCGCCTGGGGCATACAGGACGGACCACAAAAGGGACAAGGTTCTAACAGCTGGCGATGGCAGGTAAAAGGCAAGGCACGTTCATTGTTGTATTACTTCTGCTCTTTTGCAAATTTGAGAGGTTGAAAATAAAACATTTTAGGAAAGAATTTCTCCTCTGTAATGATTTAAGTCTGTGCCAAAGGCAGCTCACAAATTTCACTTTAACTTTTAGTAACCAAACCAAGGAGGAAAGCTTAGGTCAGCAATGATAGGGCTTAGGCAATAAAAGCAGACCAACTGCTAAGAAGAAGAACAGCCACATTAGGTGTTAAAATGAGACGGGTTCTCTACTGGGATTCTTATAGATGAGGAGACTATTGTTTAACCAAAATGACTTCTAGAGACACAGCCTAACCCGGAGTGGTGTTACGTACCTGTAATCCCAGCCACTCAGGAGGCTGAGGCAGGAGGATGGCAAGTCTGGGCATTTTAGTGAAACCCTATCTCAAAAAGAAAAAGGGCTGTGGGTGTAGATCAGTGGCAAAGTGCCCTGGGTTCAAGCCCTGATCTGGAAGGCAAGCAGGCAGGCCAGCCGGCCGGCCAAGACTGACTGCACGGCTCTCAATATGCATGAGAACTTTCATTGCGATTTTTACCCCATCCTTTTTTTTTTTTTTAATGATTTTGTAGTTGTAGATGGACACAATGCCTTTATTTTATTTATTTATTTTTATGGGTGCTGAGGATGGAACTCAGGGCCTCACATGTACCAGGCAAGTGTTCCACCACTGAGCCACAGCCCAGTGGTGGAACACTTGCCTGGTACATGTTTCCAGCTCTGTTTCCCCATCTTTAACCAAATTTTATTACTACCATACGTTTAGAACAGCTGATCTAATGTCTTGTGAACAATCTTTTCATCCCTTTCCCTGGGCCCATCCTTTGCTCACCTGTCAGATGTGAAACCTCTCACTTTCTCCGCCCCTTGGGATCACAGGTCTGAGGCAGCCACTGCGGGTAGGAGCACCCGCTGTGGAAATCGAAGCTCTCCCTTCCTACAAAGGGGCCCAGGGCAGCTGCCTGTCAAAGCCAGTCTCCTCCACTTCATCACTATTCAGCTGACCTGTCTGGGCCGTATACTTGTCTCCAGTATCCCACCCCTGAATTGTTTCTGACTTCAGAAGGGAACTAAGGATGTGATGTGGGCAAGTATGACTCAAACTTCACAAAAACGTGCTATCATGAGGAATATGGAGGCCAAGAAACAGGAGGAACAGGAGTGGAATTGGGCCAGCACTGCGACACAAAGCAGGTGGGAGATGATAACTCTGTCAGGTCCCAAAGGAGGAACCATGATGCCAGAGGAGACCCTCCAGCCTCACACCATCCACAGCACCTTCGTCAAACCTTGGAGGAGAAGAAAGGGGACGCTTCACTACCAAATGGGCATTAGTTTGTCTTGATGTGAAGCATCAAATCCTAATTTTACTTTTCTAGGAAGTCTGCCAGCACCCTGCCCTGGAGGGTAGCGGTAAAGTTTACTAGGCAAGATCCTCCATAATACTCCACTGTCCTTAGGATTCCGGTGACAAAAAGTGGGATTCCACTAATTCTTCCTGTGCACTCCAAAAATCAATGCCAAGAGTCTATGCATGTACAAGGTTTCCCCTAGAAGTCTACAAGTGGGCGACCAGACCACAAGCTCTGAGTCACCCTTTCTCGCCCCACTGAAGCAGCAGTGTCCACTGTTCCCAAAACCACCGGTGCATGAGGAAGCAACAGAATCTGGTCAGCAGTTCCCCTAGACGCAAGGCAGCTGCCCACAGGAAGCCAGGCCCCGACCCCGTGTGGACTGCTGAAGGTACCAGAAGGCTGCTGCCCGTGCTCCCTCCAGGACTGCCTGCTGGCTGCGGCCTGGCTCCTTCCTCTGAAGGTCGAGCTCAGGCTTCACCCCAGGGCCAGCCCTTCAGCTTTCTGTTTGGCTTCTGCGGGGAGCACCCCCTCTCCTCCCATTCGCTTCCCCGGGTTTACACAAAGTCCCCAGGGGCTCTCCCCTGAGCTCTTCTCCACCCAGGCGGCAGGTTCCCTCACCGAGGACTGAAAACACAGCCCGGAAATCACTTCAGAATAGCGGTGCCTTCCCTTGGTGACCTTGGTGACCTTGCCATGGTAACAGCATAAAAGAAAGTGGAGCAGAGCCTTCGCAGCCCCGGCCCCAGGCTCGTCCTGCGCCCGCACGGTGTCTGCGCAGCTCTCTGGGTGCGCGCGAGCTCCCAGGGCCCATTTCTCAGCAGCCACCTTTCTACAACTTTCTCTGACAGTTCAGAAATGTTCTTCAAGACCTTTCCTGATTTCTTCAGAAAAACACATAAACGAGCAAATGTCCTGGAACTTCAAAATTAAAATGCTGGCCCCTGACTTCTTTCTTTCTCTGATGATATTAAAAACTCTCATTATTTTGGAGAAAATTACCTATCAAAATTCATTCTCTTGGGCCTCAGGCAACTGGAGCTCATAACATTGGTATAACTTTTCTAAAAGAGGAAGATGGGCAGGCTGCCCGGCACACGGCCCCGAGCGTCCGCCCGAGGGCGTTTCCCCACACCTGCACCTTCAGGTGACAGTACTTCCGTCATAGGGAGCGGCAGGGCTACGCAGCCTAGAACACCTGAGGACTGAGACCTTGAGAGACTCTCCTGGGAACACATCCTTTTCCTGGCGTGTCCTGCTTCTCCTTCTGCGTGTAGCTGTCACAGCCCTCTGGGTGCTCTGTGCTCCTTGGCTGAGAGGCAGCGCAGGGCAGGGTCTGACACCTGTGCTCTGGAGACAGACAGCTGACCAGATGGAGGCTGCTGGCTCTGCCTGCCAGGTCTGCCAGCTCAGGCAAGCTGTGCATCACCACCACGCTCAGTCTCCTTTTCTGAAAAATGGGGGCAATGGCAGTGTGTGACAATGAACTCAGCGACATATGAGTTCACACACCACAGGGGTTTAAAATAGCACCTGCCACATCCTGAGCAGTCATAAAAGTAGCTACATTACCAAATATTAGCTTTATTTTCACCGACACTTATGTGACATGTGGCCAATTTGTTCCACACATGGTCTGATATTCTTTGTGTGTGTGTGTGTGTGTGTGTGTGTGTGGTACTGAGAAGAGACCCCAGGGCCCCCTTCACACTCAGCAAGCATTCTACCAGTGAGCCTCACTCAGTTGCCCAAGCTGGCCTCAAACTTGTAGTCCTCCTGCCTCAGCCTCCCTAGTAGCTGAGGTCATGGGCATATACCACCACTCCTGGTGAGGATATAGTATTTTCTGAGTGTAAAGAAAATTTCAATGAAACCTAGGTGGATCAATTTCAAAGCAGTTGAAAAGTTCATTTCTATTTCCAACGAACATCATGATTCTGTGCACTGAGTTCTCAAATTCCTTCAAACACGACCCCTCACCATGCCTGCCCTGCACACCTGTCTTTCCAAGACCCCCAATTGCTGTCTTGACCTTGGCCCATGTCCCTCTCCACTGGGTGTGCCAGAGTCTCAGAACAGAAGCTGAACAGCAGGTCGATCTGCAGCGCCCAGGTAACCCTCCAGCTTCTGGCCATCAGTCACGTATTTCAACTCTACTTTGCCACATTTTTTCCAGTACTGACTCTTTAAAGTTGAATCTACGAAGACATGGAAAGCCATGGTGCCAATGGCCCGAGTCCACTGTTTTCTGAAAATTGTGGTTTGTGAATTAGCACAGAAAAATTAAAGTTCTGCCTTAAATACATCTCAAAGTTGGTGCTGGTTTGGCTTCCAGGCCTGGGCCAGAGCAGTGGACGGGAAGAAAGGGTTGCCTGAGAGCTGCTCAGAGCCAGGCCAACATGCCAGCCGGGTGCCAGAGTGCTGATCACCAGCAAGCCCTCTTTCATGCCTTTTTGACACCTTTATTCATCAAAAAAGTAATGTGTTAAACTTTAAATGTTATAGCAAATATACTTGCAGGATACGGTATGTCCTAAATTGCTTTCAGCTGCTCTATTTCGTACTTCATTGAATCAAGTTTTAGCAACGTCCTCCTTGACTCTTCCTTCAGCCTCAATAC